ACTTGGAAGTAGGGTAGAGCAATGCTGAGAGGGATGCCGACGAGCTCCTCTCCCAAGTGATCGCCCATTCTACAGTTCAACTTCAACTTTGTGGGGTTTGTCGATGCGTTCACCCCATCGTGACCGTCGTACTTCTGCTCGAAGCGGTAAATAGAGCAGAGCATGCCGAGCGACACAAGAGCCGCCCAGAGGGCCTGATCGGGGATGACGTCTGCCGTACCCTCGATGACAGGTGCAGCGGCGACTGACTCTCGGACTCGGCCGCGGGCCACGCACCCGGGCATGCGTTCCGCGAGATCGATCCAAACGCGGCCTGGAGATCTGGCCAGGGCACCAGCCGCCTCATCGTAGTCTGGAGGGCAGAAACCATGCTCTACGCTGAGAAAGCCGTCTTTCCAACCTGTCTGCGGTCCAATCTCCTCCGCTCTTAGCATCACTTGTCTAGCCGGCGCTCCGAGGGCAACGGCCAGCAGGTCTGCCTCGTTGACGTTGAAGGCATCCAACTCTGCTTGTGATTTGACCGAATCGATCTCTTGCTGTGATGGGTATTGAGAATAGAGAACATGGTTGATGGATTTCCGCTCTCTATAATAGTCAAGTCAGTTGGCTGTGGAAGATGAATAGCAAGAACCTAGGCGTACCTCATTCGGAGCCACTCTTCTGCGTCAACTCCTCGAGGGATCTGAGATGTTGTCAGTATGTTCGAGCCTATGGGAAGGCTGGTCAAGGCTTACATCGAATGCTGTGTGGATGTCACCAGGCTGGGAGAAGCCCGAGAAGGAACATCCTCGTGGGCCCATACGACTGCTTGATCTGCTCTGCCTTCCTGATTTGTTGGCGCCGACTGGACAAACACCTCCTCCTACTGAGCCCGAGACGGGGCATGATCTCTCTGAAAAAGCCATCTCGATGTAAGTGTTGGACCTGTGAGGTAGTATAGACAAGGCAGATCCGACAGCAGGCAATGTGAATAGGAATTAGAAGTGTAGTTGAATATGGCCGCCAGGGCAGGGGAAAATTACAACCGCCAGGGCAAAGAATGAAAATGGCCTCAAGCCTACAGATCCGAAAACAAGAGAACAAAGTTGGTTGGAGAAACAGAGCAGACAGACGAAGGCTGCTTCCTTGGGCATCATGGCTTCCCTAAAAGGGACGCCTCGAGAGACTAACACCATCGTTGCCATCGCTGTCGTTGTGGGGCGCCATGTAGGAGAGTAGTAAAGAGCGGTTGGGCCCCTGCATACCGTCCCATGGGCAAACAAAATAATACCCGCAGACCGGGGTCACTAGACGGGAGGTCTCCGCGGTCGTTTGAACTCTGATTCACAGCCGTCAGGAGCTCGTGGACCAATGGGCAGAGAGTCGACTTGACCCGCCAGGAGACGTGACTGCGTGATGGGCAGCGGCTCAACTCCACGAGGCCCAAACACGCTAGCAGCCCACGTCTTAGGATGACTTGACGCCATCCCAAGTTTGGGCTTGACCTCTTCCTCCAGTCTGGATGCTTGGGTGTCATGGACTCATGGGTCTATGAAAATGCCAAGATGACTGACATGCTGCACGACGCTGAATTCGCCGGGATCATCATGCGTCCTTGGGGCCATCGCTGATCTTATGCGGCAGTCGAGCAGAATGAGGGAAGATCTGTCGTCGCGGGCGTGCGGCCATGGCGTCTCGTAGTGTGATTCTCAGCCCACTCGGGCACTTGGCCTACGAATACACGTGTAATTCCTGGGGTTTGATGATTCCTAGGAAGCTTTCAATCCGGTTCGGTACGAATGCCACGAGGTAAATAGATTGATGTCTGTTCTTGGAGGCAATAGAGTTGAGGACCTCGACGAGGTGAGGTGCGAAAAGGAAAACGACCAGGGGTTGAGAAGGAAATAGCCTCAGCTGGCAGGAGCCGGTAACGTCCATGTGGGGCACTACGACTAGGGCTTTTAGCCAATCACATGTCGTTAATCCGTCACATATGGTTCAAATTCCCAGAACTCTGTATCCAATGTGCCCAGCTGCCTACCTCCCCGATCTGCCAGGATCCACAATTGTTCTTTTTCTGAATCTACGGGATGGTGGGGGGGTTTGGGAGCTTGGCAACTGGTACCTTGCATCAGTTGCAACCTTCGAGACGCCATCGCGCACCAAGACTCTCCAAAGGGACAAGGTACCGCGGCATATAGCCAATTATACACAGGCAACGGAAAGAAGCTCAGACGCTACAGCTGCTGTCCTATTCTCTCCAAACCTTGATCAGAGCTGTTATTCGATGGGTCCGACTGTCAAACACCTCTTTTTGAGCCTTCCGCAGAGGCAAACTTGGACTCTGATGGGCAGAAAACTTCCGCCCCCCACACGGCTCCTTTCCCCATTCATCTCCTCCGCTCTCACGGAGTTCTAGTCCCAGACGAGTGACAGCATGGGATCAAGCCCGACGACTCCCTTGTCGCACTTGACGCCGCCCTTGCCCTTCCTCGGGAGATTGCCAAGGAGGTACCTGTTTTCACCATCCCTCTTGAGCCCTCTTGAGCCCTTTGCCTCAATCCCTCCTCACAGGCTCTCTCGTCGGGTCGGCTGAAGCCCTGGAGTGATGATGGACGGCCAGGAGTCCGGGACCTATCACGATGACGCGCGTTCCAGAACTTCAGGACGTCGACCGTCGCTTCTTGGCAGTCCGAGCATGGCATAACATGGCCCGCTTTCCAACCCAGCCACACGTTTCTGCCATACGGTGACCTTCTATTGGAGAGATGACCTCCCACGTGAATTTGTGCTGTCATGGAAACTCCTCGTAGGATCAATAGGTTGTATTTTTACCTTGCAACGGTCGTCTGGAAAAATGAGAAAGGGGGAACATTAGCCGGACCCCAGCTCGCTCCCACTTTCCTTTTCTTTCTTGCTCCTGACGGACAGGGGTGCATTAGCCGTAGCAGACCGCAGATGTGTGCATCACTGAAAGGGCGGCAAAAACTGGAAGGCGTATGGTACGGCTCAGTCCTCTGCTTCTCAAAATTCATGAAGTGAGATATCTGTAGAGTGTAAAGTATGTGGATGATCCGATATAACAGACGATCGAAAGTAAATCCTTTGCTAGCATTCTTGGCAGCTTCAATCCCCTAACTTGTCTTCTTGGAATGTCTGCATTAGGAACCAAGCCATCGGTTCTTGGTCACACCTTAATTGAGTGCGTTATCACGGGTCTGCATATTTCGCCATGGGGTATCTGATATGATACTTCGCGTCACCCCCGCTAGCCCTTGGCATCCAAGCACTACTCCTATAGCCTATACTCTCAGAAGGACGTAGACATAACGGCATATCCACCTTGGCAGACAAGCTTATTCGACCTCTTTAGCTTGGCCGGCAATGCCGTTTTTCTTCCTTTTTTCCTTCCATGTCAGGAATCTCACCCGTGTTCTTACAAGGTGCAGCGATCACATCACATCATCACATTACTGGAGGCAATGAGAAAGAGTCGATCCATCGCTGCGCTCTCTCCTTGACCTGTACAGGCTGTACTCAAGCACGTCAAGACAGTTTTCTTCTTTCCCTCCTCAAGGGCCCACATTTTGGTCTTGACGTCTGTTTCATCTCTCACTTTTCGTCGGATCAGCCCGCTATTTTTACTCGAGGACAGTGCGCTGGCCCCCATCTTGTTGGTCTACTGGTATTAAGTCTACATACAACAGTATTGGTTGGCCCTAGCGGCCAGTCACGGGATCTTGACGGATATGAGGGGGATGCAAACCCGGACAAGGGGCGGAAAAACTGATCAGATCTTTTGTCTCATCAACACCTTCCTCTCCAGTTTTTCCCTTTCTCCCCGAAGGATTTGTGACATCCCGAGTGCCACAGCCGTGTCTCACATGAAGAACAAGAGTTCAAACTGACGAAAGGGTGAGCGAATTTCGGACAATATACCATAGTAAAACTTCATCAGTAGTTTTCACCGAGATGCTCTACATTTCTATCTGGCCACTAAATTATTGAAAGATGATGAGTATCGAGTATCACCAACTAGGTTGGTATGATAGAAGGTAGTCGAGCTTCTGATACCTGAGCGGTTTCTCCCACATAAACAATCAGCTCCTACAAGCAGAAGGTGAAGTTCCGGAACTTCGTACACGAATGATCATCAGACGGAGGCATCCGGACAAGACTTCCTCAAGCCGCCCTGTATATAGATTCTACTCATAGCGTGACTTTGATGTCATGTACTTCGGCTAGGTCCCATTATTTATGACCCGTCAAGTACAGGAGCACTTAACTATGTCTTCCCGCAATGCCCACCTTTGGCATGTTGCTTCTGGTGGAACCGTTACGGGAACCTGCACTGCCCTCGTGGTAACGACGTATTACAGGAGGACTTGCCCCATCTAGACTTATGTTTTCGATGTGTTTCGTTTCTTTCGGAGTTGCCCCTCATGCGGGCCATGTGTTGTACTTTATTTTACCAAAGTGAGAATTGGATGTAACAACCAAGATATGGACAAGAACGTGAAAACGAAAGTTTTGGTCTCTTTCAATATTAGTTTACTCCCTTGAGAAGCGTGAGAAATATATGTCAGCTGCAGAGGGCGAACTGAGACAATGGAGCCATCTGGGCACAGAGGAGACTCCAGTCGCATGAGATGTCATTAGTCTCAATTCTACCTGCGAAGAGCTAATATCATACGGTCTGGGTTCAGCTCCTCGTAAGCTGCAGGGATCTAGGCCAATTTTCTCCCTTGACTTGGTCGAAAAAGCGAGGCAGAGATCACTTTGCTTGTTTCCAGTAGACCTTTATCGTATGTTGAGACGTGTTAGCAGTCATCACATGTTCTTCTGTTTGCAAATACTAGAGGTGACACGGGACAAGTTGGAACCTAATCACCTAAATATGAAGAATGTGACAATTGCAGCTGTACGCAGGGTTGCATCTTCAGTTTGTTATTGACAAAGAGCAGCAGTGCGCCAAAGTTGGACAAGAGTCGCCAGGACTCGGCACCTCGCGACGAAGCGCGATGGGGTATACCAGTGACGAAGAAGTATTGAGGAGCAAGATGATATACCCAATCATATACTACGGTTGGTCAAATGCTAGGATTCTATATCTGTGGCGCTGTAAGTGAAGAGGAGGCTCTGCCTCAAGAGCATGATTATTGGGAATTCCGTCAGGAAATTTTGAAAACGTCGAAGCTATACGATCAGATCAGTTCATCACAATCACTTCCGTACATTTGCCGCTAATTTGTGATACGCGTTGCAATATGCATCAATGTAGAATGGAATATTGCGTCTGGCTGTTCTTTCTATAGGCTGATTTACGACAGGTGCGGGCTACACGCGCTGGGCGGCGGCCCGCCCCCGCTGGAACAGCTCTGATCTTGAAGTTTTTAACCCAAATCGAGGAGGAAGTCCCCCGCGCGGCAATATTGACCCACAATCAGCTAAGCCAAAAAAGCCATGTCTCGCAGCTTTTGATAGATGGGATTCAACTGGGTGGCCTATGAGGCAGCATAAGGTTTCGGGCTGCCGGAGGTACACTAACCATGCGTGATTCTTTTGCTAGCATCAGAACAAGCTATCTCGTATGGCGACGCGCCAAACTTTGGCTGCCGGTGAGCACACCGTCTCACATACCTGTCACTGAGATGGCATATGGAGCGAGCCTCACGATACACCACTTATTGACGATGTAGATGCAAGTAGGTGACACAAGGCGCCAGTCCTCACGAGTTTGGCCTTGTAGTCGTAAGTACTTTCAAATGAAGCCGCTACTTCTATCTCTGGACAAACTGGAGGAGAAGTCACATATCTCAAGTCTGATAGAATGAATGGTTTTCCTCATTTCCCGCTTTTATTACCCGACCGAAGCTCCTTCGACGTTCGCGAGCTGGCGATTGTTAGAAATGGACGAGCGCAGAAACGGCTGAAATTGGCCTAGGCACAGAGAGGTGAGTGTGTAGCCACGTGGCTGGCTGAGTGCAATATCGGGTCTACCCATATTAGTGTACTATTTTGATTTCATCACAATATTGGAATGTGATAGCGTATGTCGGTTAGCTACCGCTACACAGCAAGGGCTGCGACTGAAACCAACAGCGCCAAGGCGGGCTCATATGCAGTCCAGACCGACCATCTCCTCAACAAGACGTTTTGTGAGAGATTTATCTCCATGGTACTTTGTGCAGCTGATATTGGCAGTTTCTGGCGTCTCATTGCAGTATCCCCATCTGCCAATGTGATGAGTGATGCCTGAGGTGTTATGGGGGAGTTGATATTCCCTCACTTATATAAGATCCATGTGAATCACCTCAAAGATCTCGTTCTCATAGACCTCACAGTTTTCAATATACGAGGTTACCCTGAACCCGCGTCTTCTAACAAGATGGAAACTCTGCAGCCGATATTCAAGACACAGTTTCTTCCTGTGTCACCCGATGAGCTCATCATGATGCTTTCAGCGGGCTCAAAAGCTGTTACGACTGCCTACCAAAGTTTCCGTTCAGTTTTCCGAGAACGATCGATGATGGAGATAGGACTCACTGATACCTTTATAATGCACGCCCAGGTGCTGTTCAGCTCAGAAGGGAAAGACGCATTCTTTGTAAGTGACCTTGTAGGTGATACTGACGTTGAAGAGGAGCTATCACTGCATGTCTTCATACAGATAGCCCAGGGAACAATAACAGCAGTATTGCTTACAGCATGACAGGAATGGAGCAACAATGAGAACGTAACTGGTTGTGATTTTGCGGTCACTGTCAATAGCCACCAGACGAATGGGTACGGTATTTTATTCCAAGGTTTGTATATAAGTTATCTATCTGACATCTCTATGCTAATGCCAAATAGCAAAAGTCGCAAAAGCCGCAGAGGGCGGCACTTACGCCGACTTTTTCTATGATTATGGGCTATAGAATAGTATAAAGCATAGCACAAAGCTAAACACAATTCCAGAAGCGCGAAAACCATCGGCAGGGTAAAGGTTCAGGAATATCAGAACATCCTTCTTGCTAATTATGCCAAGAAAAACAAATGTGAGGCATAGTAAGTGCTTGATCTTCATCTCAACTCTTATGGATAGCTAATTGAGGGTAAACAGCTACGTCATATATGACGTGAAAGAGGTCCGGTGGGTCAACGTTTTTGCGTTGGCAAAATGGTTTGACGGAAATGATAAGGGGAAAATGACAAACGTCGAGTACCTAATCAAGACGTTCAACGCTCTAGCAAAAACGTCATTCACTGAGGCTCGGGCAATGCAATAGAGACTGAGGAGACGAAGTAAGGAAGCGGGTTACTAAGATGGGATTCAGGTCTTATGTTCGCACTGGAGGTGTGATATTGACTGGTCAGGCTTCGTCTAAATCAAACTACCCGTGCCCTGTAAGCCAATCGAAAGCCTTAGGCAGCTATGGAAACTCCAAATATCTCATAAAGCGCCTTCAAAAACGCTGCTGGGGAAGAATGTTCTTCACTTAGCACCCTATTCGTGACATATGCAAGTGTGAGCCTCCTGTTACTATCCATAGCCATGATCGAACCGTCCCGCGCGCTAACCCATCCAACATTACCCGCCGGCAGCTTGCCTTGCCATGGTTTCTACTCGGTCAGCAGCCTTTCGTCTGCGGTGGCACACCATCTTTTTGTTGGCCCTTCGGGCAACGTGTCGATGACCCAGACGACCTTAAACATCCACAAGTCTTTACTGCCTGGATATCCTCCATTACCTAGGTATTTGGTCCCTGGGGCATCTAGCTCCCTTGCTCGTCAGCCCCTCTCCTCAAGTGAGCATAATAACCCTGTACATCAGACGAGTTGACTCAAGTTCTCGTTCGGTCACATTGACGAATCCTTCGTTTGGATCCTAGGAGCACCTCTCTTCACTTGAAAGGAAACCTCTTACTACTCAAGTCGGGGAAGCAGTGGCAGAGAACATCGTCAAATCTGTGATATCATTCAAACGCTCATATCTAAACAAAACCTCCTCCAGTCCAAAGACAAGCTTTTGTTTTCACCACACATGCAGGGAGTTCAGTCCGAATGACCAACAACCTCCCCCTTGATCCCTTTTTTGTACATTCTCGTAACTCTTTACAACTTGGAGAAGACAGTCGGCACGCTACCGCCCATCTCGACAAGCGTGCTCTTGTTCCTCACCCACGCCTCGAGACCCTTCCGTCCATTCTCCACGCCAACACCGCTCGACTTCCACCCGCCGACGGCCATCTCCGCAGGCGACTCACCCCACGTGTTGATCCAGGTAATACCGGCCTCGAGCTTCTGGATAACACTGTGGCACTGATCGACGTCCCGACCAAACACGCCCGCCGCGAGACCGACGTCGGTCGTGTTGGCCCGCTCCACGGCCTCGTCGACGGTGTCGTAGGTAAGAATGCTCATCACGGGACCGAAGATCTCCTCCTTGACAATCGTCATGTCGTCGGTGCAATCCGTAAACACGGTCGGCTGGATCCAGAACCCAGACTTGTACGCCGACGGCAGACCCTTGGGCTGCGTGGCGCCGCCGCACAGGAGCGTCGCCTTGTCCTCCATGACGCCCTTGCGGACGTACGCCTGCACCTTTTCGAGGTGCGTCTTGCTGTTGAGCGGGCCAAAGTTGGTGGCCGGGTCGAACAGGTCGCCCGCGCGGACGTACTGGATCTTCTCGAGCACGAGCTTCTCGAACTCGGCCTTGATGGCCTTGGGGATGAAGACGCGCGTGCCGTTGGTGCAGACCTGGCCCGAGCTGTAGAAGTTGGCGAGCATGGCGCCGTCGACGGCCTGCTCGATGTCGCAGTCCGGCAGCACGATGACGGGGCTCTTGCCGCCGAGCTCCATGGTCACGTACTTCATACCGCCCGCCGCGGCGCCGGCGACCTTCTTGCCCGTGCTCACCTGGCCCGTGAAGCTGACCTTTGCGATATCCGGATGCGCCGTGAGCTGGGCGCCGACGTCGCCCGCGCCGTAGACGACGTTGAAGACGCCGTCCGGCACACCGGCGTCGCGGTAGACGGAGGCGAGGTACTCGGCGTGCAAGGGGGTGAACTCGCTCGGCTTGTAAATCATGCAGTTACCGGCAGCCAGGCACGGGGCCGACTTCCACAGGGCGATCTGGATGGGGTAGTTCCAGGCGCCGATGCCGGCGCAGACGCCGAGGGGCTCCTTGGTGGTGTAGGACCACGCAGAGGGCCTGAGGCGGAAGGATTCGCCGTTGAGGCCGCCCGAGGCGACGAGGTTGGCGTAGTACTCGAGGACGTCGGCGCCGGTGACGACGTCGACGTACTGGGTCTCGGAGAAGGCCTTTCCGGTGTCGAGGGTCTCGATCTTGGCCAGCTCGTCGTTGCGCTCGCGGAGGAGGGCGACGGCGCGGAGGAGGATGCGGGAGCGCTCGATGGGCGGGGTGGCGGACCAGGAGGGGAAGGCCGTCTTCGCGGCGTCGACGGCGGCGTTGATGGACGCGGCGGAGGAAGTGTGGATGGTGCAGACGGGCTTCGCCGTCGCGGGATCGATGGATTGGAAGGTGCCTGGGGATTCCGTGTCCGGCTGGGGCTTCCCCGCATAGAAGGTGTGACGATCCGCCTCCTGCTTCTGCTCTTGTGGCGCCATTTTTGATAATGAGACTTGGGTTTTAACTTTTGGCTCTAATTGACTTGTTTGGTTGGCTGGTTCCTATTTTCCTGGGGGAGGGGTATGGGCGAGGAAAAAGGAGCTATGCTGGCAAAAACGAATGATACACTAGAAACGGGAAGGAATTTCTGCAAGGTAAGGGGATGGGGAAATGGGGTATAACGGGATGCGAGACAAAGTTCCAACAAGACGATGCCGGGGATGAGATGTCGATCGGGGTATACGGACGGCGACACGGAGGACGGAGCGTACAGTTGCAGTTGCAGGCTTAGAGGATTTTTTTTTTCGACGGTCGTCGAGATCGGAGGGAGATCGGGATCGTACCACGGAGGAGAGGCCGGGGACCTTATCTCGAGTTCAGCTGACCAGAGTGGGTAATGGCCTGGCAAGCCGGGGTGTTGCAGATTTGCCGGGAGACACCCATGTTGCCCCACTCCGTCGGCGGTGTGATGTCATGGACCGTACGTCATTGGCCCTTCGCTCCACCCGGATGCAACAGTTCTTTCTCCACCCATTCACCTTGCAGTCTCCCAAGACGGTACAAGGCGGTACGTATCTGAGGGGACCGCGGTGCGTGCGTTAGGTTGGTGGTGCAAATGCAGCGACCAAGAGAAAAAAAAAAGTCGCCTCCACTAAAGAAGTTTCAGCCTTCAGGGTCCCTTCACATTTGGAGATTGGAAATTTTTTATCTTGCATCTCTCACCACCCTGTCTTTGTTTGCTGATGCGATATGCACACGCTGCTAAGCTTTGACAGATCACATCCAACAATGTGGCCGGTTTCTGTAGGGCCGTCAGATCCGTTCTTATCCCGGGTCCGGCCGTCAAAGTCGAACGATCACCCGCGCAGCCGCGGTACGGCAGGGGACTCCAGCGACGAATTGGCTGCATTTCATTGGCTACCCAGCCGGATGGGCGAGCCACAATCGGGAAAAAGATACGGCGGGCACGGCGGAAAAGATAGACTACATAGATACGGGCGATGCGAGATAGACAGATATCTCAGATATACAGATATCGCCAAAAGAATCTAGACTGGACCATGAGCCGCTTGGTCTATCTCGGTGTGTGTGTGTGTGTGCATCTCACACCTTGCCTCCTGAGTCCTCAGCCTTTGAAGGTTAGCTTCGATTCTCTAGATCGTCGGCGATAACGACGAGTTCGTCAGATCATCTTGGATACAACGGGTAGGAGAGTTTGCGTTTGACATCAGACAAGGCCCTTTTGATAGTGGAATACGGGGTACCAAAGGGTAATTCCTGGAGAGTACCTGGAAGCTGGTCGACAGAGAGTCAGGACCGAGGTCAAGGTTGCCTTGGCACACCCAACCTGGGCTAGACAAGTCGGCGGGAACCCCGGATGACGCCGACGGTTGTGACTTGTTGGTGGTGTGTAGTCAGGTAATGGTCAACCACTCATCTTCTGCCACCTCAGCCGCGCGGACGAGGCGATAGGTCAGACGGGCAGAGGCGGCCGGGCGAGACTCGAGACGAGGTTGAGTGGTCGAACGGACTCCAACGCCGTGTCACCGAGACAGGGCTGTCTGTTATCGACGGATAGAATCCGAATTTTAGCGCAGGATAAAGGCGGCATGGCAGTTTGGGGAATGTCGGGTGCAATTCTTGCATATGCAGCATATTTGGTATGTCTCAATTGCCTGGGATACCAAATTGTAGGTGTGACTGGTTGTTCATGTACGCAGTCAGGCCCCCCCAGACAAACACACCACCAGCGCGTGGGATTTCCGTGGCAAGCCGCAAACGGGCGGAATTAGTCTGTTGCGTTGTTGGTCGATGGCGCCCACTCTGGTACCGAGCAGAAATGGACGGTTCAACATGCCTCGAGGGCACGACGTTGGATAAAGAGGAGTCGAATGAATGCAGGTGAAATTAGATGCTTGAAGCTACGCTGGTGGGACATTCCGCAATAGACGGATCGAGGAGTATTGGCCGGGTGAAGCAGGCAGTGTCGAATCGTCATGATTGGCCCGTGCCATAGAAGAGCATTGCGGCACTTGACTGCCTCTGGCCATTATTCGTAATTCTTTTTCAACGACGTCGGACAGTTTCCACCAGAGTGGACATTCGAGAAGGGCAAGAAGGACTTGGCGTGCGTGGGAAAGCGCGGTCTCCCCCTTCTCTTCCTGGGCGGCGACGAAAGAAAGAACCTTGAGCTTGCCCGAGGCTGGTGCTGCCAGCTTTTTGGCGGTACCTCGTACCTTTACCAGAAGCACGTCTTGAGCAACATCCCTGATTGGGGGCCTGCCGCCTGCGTCTTGCATGTTGCTGACAATGTTGGCTGCTGGGGGACCAGGAGACGTTAGCTCGGGGTCACTTAGTCTGTTTTGGGACTGTCGGGCCAGTGAGAAACCTTGGAATTTAGAAAATCCGGCCCTGCTTGCTGACGAAAGCAAGGATGAGGACGTTTTAGGCGGGGGGGCAATTGAGTAAAAAATAGATAGAGGGCTGGTGAGAAAAGTACAAGACAAAAAGTACAAAAGAAAAAAAGAGGATAAGACCGGCAGAAAAAAGGTCAATTGTCCAATGAGACGTCGGATCCCGCGCGGTCTCGCGGTCCCACGCCCGGATGTATGGTGCCGCACCCACGGTGAACCCCACCTGCCAGTTGGTGAAAGCGGCAGAAGCAGGTGGCAGACAGAAACACCGAGAGAATGGAAGGATCACAGGAACTTGAGAAGGAGAGACTCGTGCAGAGACCCGGCGAGTCAGTCTCAATGCCCTCGAAACCCGCTTTCCTTCATGGGCCCCACCACCCACTTTCGCGGGGTCCGTCTCCACCGCCCTGCGCCTTGCCCGCCTGCCGTCGTTGCTGGCGCCGGCGCTGGCCTGGTGCGATTGAGGTCGGTCGGTACCTTCCACGCGAGAACAATTTTTTCGTTCCTCAAGCGGCGGCCGAGTGAGGGAAACGAGGCAAGCTTTCTTTCTCGAGTCTCCCCGTCAGTCTGAGTCTGGGCTGCTTCTGTGTCTCCGAGGAAGGGCCAAGGATGTGGATGGGTCCTACCCTCCTCGTGTCTCCACGGTATCCTACTCCGACATGCCGACTTGCCTTTGATCATTGATCATTGATAATGCGGCCGAATTTCCACTTATATCGATAGCTTCTGAATCTCCTTTGCCTTTTCTTCTTTCCTCTCCATCCTCATTCCTCTCCGTGTGCCATTCTTCTCCCCTTCTCATCCCAAGATCTACCCCAATCTCACCCCAAGATCGCCCGCGCGTTTCTTGGCTGTATTACCCCTCTGTACATACATTCCCCCGTGTGTACAAGTAGAAAAAGCTACCCCTCATCCTCTTGATTGGCCGGGTGCCCCGAGAATCTTGCTGTTTGAATACCCTCATCCTCCTTATCCGCCAAAATGTCCACCACGCAGCTTCCCGTCTCCGACGTCGACCGCTACGACTATGTTATCGTCGGCGGTGGTACCGCCGGCTGCGTTATCGCCTCTCGCCTGGCCGAGTCCCTCCCTCAGAAGCGCATCCTCTTGATTGAGGCTGGCCCCAGCGACTTCATGGACGACCGCGTGCTCGACCTGCGCAAGTGGCTCAACCTTCTCGGTGGTGAGCTCGACTACGACTACGGCACCACTGAGCAGCCCATGGGTAAGCCTCTTCTGTGTCCAACAGCTCATCCTACCTCCTGGGACAGCTCACTGACATGATTGCTTCTCACAGGCAACTCTCACATCCGCCACTCTCGCGCCAAGGTGCTCGGTGGTTGCTCATCGCACAACACCCTCATCTCCTTCAGACCCTTTGAGTACGACCTGAAGATCTGGCAGTCTATGGGTGCCAAGGGATGGACTTTCCACGACTTCATGCGTCTCATGGACAAGCTGCGCAACACCGTCCAGCCCGTCCACGCCCGCCACCAGAACGAGCTTTGCCTTGACTGGGTCAACTCCTGCTCTTCCGCCCTCAACATCCCCGTCCTCCACAACTTCAACAAGCACATTGCTCAGGACGGCGCCCTGCAGCAGGGTGTCGGTTTCTTCTCCATCTCCTACAACCCCGATGATGGCCGCCGGTCTAGCGCCTCGGTCGCCTATATTCACCCCTTCCTCCGCGGCGACGAGAAGCGCCCCAACCTTACCGTGCTCACCAACGCCTGGGTTTCCAAGCTCAACATTAAGGGCGACACCGTCACCGGTGTCAACCTGACCCTCCAGGATGGTTCCAAGCGCACCATCACCTCCAAGAAGGAGACCATCCTCGCCGCCGGCGCCGTCGATACCCCTCGTCTGATGATGCTGTCCGGTGTTGGTCCCAAGCAGCAGCTCAGCGACCTCGGCATTCCCGTCATCCACGACCTGCCGGGTGTCGGCGAGAACCTTCAGGACCACCCCGAGTCCATCATCATGTGGGAGCTTAAGAAGCCCGTTCCCCCAAACAAGACCACCATGGACTCCGATGCTGGTATCTTCCTTCGTCGCGAGGCCCCCAACGCCGGCGCCAAGAAGACCTTCTTCAACCCCGACGGCATCCCCGACGGCAACATTGCCGATGTTATGATGCACTGCTACCAGATCCCCTTCACCCTCAACACGGGACGCCTTGGCTACGATGAGCCCAAGGAGGGCTACGCCTTCTGCATGACCCCCAACATTCCCCGTCCCCGCTCCCGCGGTCGCCTCTACCTGACCTCGGCCGACCCTAACGTCAAGCCTGCTCTTGACTTCCGTTACTTCACCGATGAGGAGGGCTACGACGCCGCTACCCTCGTCTACGGCATGCGCGCTGCCCGCAAGGTCGCCGAGCAGGCTCCCTTCAAGGACTGGATCGCTCGTGAGGTCGCTCCCGGCCCCAAGGTCCAGACCGACGAGGAGCTCAGCTTGTACGCTCGCCGTGCTGCCCACACCGTCTACCACCCTGTCGGAACCACAAAGATGGGTGACGTCCGCAAGGACCCGCTCGCCGTTGTCGACGAGCGCCTCAACATCAAGGGCCTCAAGCGGGTCCGTATCTGCGACGCCGGCATCTTCCCCACCATCCCCACCATCAACCCCATGTTGACTGTCCTTGGTTGCGCCGAGAAGTGTGCCGAGATGATCATCGAGGAGGCCCAGGAGACTGCCCGTCTGTAAAAAAACCAAAAATCATGTCAGAACTACAAAAGAAAGCGTTTTATGTGGAGGAAATGATCTAGAAAAGCATTTCTTTGTTTATTTTTGAGAGTTAGCTATCAGGCATTATACCAAATGATATCATGACTATGAACATTATTACCTACATCTATCGTTCCCCTCGAAGATTGGCCGTTCGCTATGACACTGAAAATACGCATCGTGTCCCCTTCGGTTGGTGGTACCGAAATACTCCGACACGACATCCACAAACCCACCATCGTGCATGAAGAGTTTTTTATTGAACTTGCGCAAAGACAAGGAAAACTAGGTGACCGAGCAACGCTTTGATCCAATTATCAGATTCCGATGCTGAACGTACGATCGGGATTTTCATGCATCGAGGTTGTCCACAAACTAAGGTAGCTTAGCTGTGCGGATACTCGGACGTTATCCGGTAATAGGGTGTCGTCGGAGTGGAATCCGCAGGATCCCCCACATAAAACCGACCGCCTCGAGAGCATCCGTCAACCGCAGATGCCGCGCCTTATATGGGTTTCCAAATCCGCGATCATAATCCAAGACTAATCCCAAGCCAACAGTCTGAGTGCGCAAATGGACAATGCAAGGTCGACCGACATCTTGTCGTCAAGCAGATCTGCTTCATACGGATGCAGACCTTTGTAGAATGAATGAGGGGAGTTCCCGGGGGTGTGGTCTAGTGTTCCCGTCCCAAATCTGCAAGGGCGCGACGATCAGCATGCACAATGCCGTTGCCACCGAACCCTTTTTCCCCTGCGGTGACCTACCACCTACTTATAACGGACAGGTCGACCTCGATGATTGGTTCCCAGACGGAAAATGTGCTCTTGGTCACCCTTCTCCTTTGGTATGGCTGGACTGAACTGGACACCCCTTTCGGAACTCGGGATGAAGCGAGAAGCTTGTTTTTATGCGATGAGGAATTGGGATAGAGGGTGCCGTCGGGGTTTGATACTCGCTTGATTGGAGACTTGGTAGCGTTTCTTGGACTTTCGCGCCGTCTACTTTGTCGCATCGTCACTAAGGGGCGTCATAGTTGGCGTCGTGGGCCTTTTTGATGGGAGTACTGGAAAAGAGATGACTCATGTTCTAATAACGTCGACCACCCTTGCCTACATGAGGCCTTCCGGCATTCACTATCGAGTTTGACGCTTTTGGTATACATTTGAGTCCGGAAAGGAGGGCGAAGAAATAGGAAGGAGCTGCAGTGTTTAGCATGTACACGCGAGGTCCCGTCCATTGGGCTATTTCCGGAGCAGGTCGACCTTCTTGGATATCACATCTCTTGCTGAAGATGGGAGGAGGGGAGTATCAGTGTTTGACTGAATATCGTTGCAGAAGTGTTGCATATCTTTGAGGGTAGTCGGAGAGGATGATGGTTCTCAAGTAAGCCCACGTGCCCTTTCAGCCAAGGCACAGCAGAGAATGACGTTCCAGGATAACATGGCAAAATGCCAGCCACCACCACTACTCAATCCGTTGGATGACACAAGCATGGACATGAGCCACGCAAATGTACTTCCCATGCACTCGTCACCAAAGATGAGGTGTCTGATTGTGAATGCTCGTAGTCAATATGAACAAATCTAGAGAGTATATGCTTCGTCAACGGCAACATGCCATCATAATAAATACATAGAATTTCCTACCCCTTTTCTCTCCTTCGTCCTCCTCTTCTTCTTCCTACTCTCCGTTTCTGATTACGCATTCGAGGAATCAGATCACCAGGAGCTAAAACATCCCACCCAAGATCTAACCCGCCTCCTAAGCTCACGCAGCGCAGATGCTAGCCTGGCGCCCGGCCCCCTTGGCAACAACGCTCGGCACGTCAGCCGCGGCGTCGAGGGTATACTCGTAAAACGTCTTGGGATCGAAGACGGTGCCGGCGTTCTTGGCCGTGGTGCCGGTGGTGCCCTCGAAGACGTTGCCCGTGGCGCTCAGCTTGGCGGTGGCGTCGAGCTGGATCGGGTTCTTGACCTTCTCGAAGTAGCAGTTCTCCATGCGCATCTCGGTCTTGCCGCGGGCGTAGTGGCCGTACGAGGTCTGGCCGACGAGGTAGTTGTTGTAGAGGTGGGCGTGTTTGACGTTGTCGACCGAGGGGTTGCGCTGCTTGGTTTGGTCGAAGTAGTTGTGGTGGATTGTGATTTCGGTGTTGACGTTGTCGGTCCAGCCTGGAAGACGGGAGTTTGTTAGAGAAGAGGGGACAGGCGGAGGGAGTATGGGTTTTACTTACCAATGCCAAAGGCCTTGTTGTGGTTGCGGAGGATGGTCCAGGAGACGGTGAGGAAGGTGGTGTCCTTGCGGCTGTCGATGAGGCCGTCGCCGCCCTTTTCGAGGTGGACGTGGTCGATCCAAATATTTGTGCAGTTGTCCATCTGGATGCCGTCAAAGTCCTGGGTCTTGCCCTCGTCGTCACCCTCGACGTAGGTGTTGCCTAGAAGTCCCCATTAGCCACTAATTCGTACCAGGCTTATCGAGACGATGGGTTCAGGGTATTTACCAATCTTGATGTTGCGGAAGATGATGTTCTTCTGGTTCTGGACGTTGAAGCCGCCCTGGTCAATCTCGGCAGTCGCACCGATACCAACAATGGTCTTGTCGGACGAGACCTTCACCTCCTTACCCTTGGGCGTGATGGTGATCTTGCCAGAGACCTTGATGACGTACTTGCCAGACATGCCGGCGTACTTTTCGAGATCGGCCTGGGTCTTGACGGTGACGACCTCGCCGCCCTTGCCGCCGGTCGTGCCGCCGTTCAGGGAAGCGAAACCGTCGGGGGTGCCGCTGCAGTCATCGTCCGCGGCGGCCTGGGGAACGGGCGTGGAGGAGGCCTTGACGACGGTCTGGAGGGTGGTCGGCGTAGGGGTAGAAGCGGGCGCGGCATCGGCGGCCACGGCGGGGGCGGAGACGGCGGCAGACAACTCCAGCGAGACGGAGCTGGCGGAACTTCCGCTCGTGTATTTCGAGTCGATCCAGGAGGTGGAGCCGAGGACATCGCCAATTTTCACGGCGGCGCTGATCTTCTTGGAGAAGCTGGCGCGGGTGCCGCTGGCGCCTTTGCCGGTGTTGGCGTACTCCTGGTAGACGACGTTGTCGGTCGGGTTAGACCCCCACTTGGACCAGCCCGCGGCGTTGACGACGGCGCCGAGGTTGGAGTTCTGGACGACGACGCGGGCGAACGTGCGCCAGGGCCGGCCGAGGAAGGTCTGGCCGTCGCCGACGCCGGAGAGGGCCTTGACGGTGGCCTTGTTGAGGACGTACCAGGACGGGTTGCTCGAAGAGTCGCGGCCCGAGGCGGTGATGTAGCCCTTGCCGCTGATGGCGATGGTGCAGGCCTCGAACCAGGCGACGGCCTTTTGGCCAAAGATGAAGTCGGTGGCGCCCTCGACGTACGACTTATGGAAGTAGTGCTTGCCCTGGTTGGAGAGAATGGTGTCCTGGTAGCCCTTGGCCTGGATGCCGTAGTACCCCTGCTGGTTACCGTAGGCGCTCAGGGCGATGGCCTGGATGCCCTTGCCGCGCGAGTTGACAATGTTGATGTTGTAGACCTTGAGGTTGTCGTTCTTGGCCCGGAACGTGCCGGAGGCGTCGTTGCTGCCGGCGACGTCGGCGCCGAGGCTGTTGGTGACGGTGACCTGGTTCTTGGAGTAGTCTTGGTCGTCGGCGGTGTAGCCGTAGATGGTGAGGGCGCCCTTGTTGGCCGGGATCAGGACCTGCTCGTTGTAGGTGCCCGGCTGGATGAAGATGACGGCGCCGCTGCTGGCGGCGTCGACGGCCTTTTGGATGGAGGTGTACTTGCCCCCGGACTTTGCGACGACCAGAGCGCCGGAAGGGGGGGATGTCCGGGCCGCGCCGAATGCGCCGGCCACCAGGGACGACAACAAAAGAAGGGAAGAGGCAAGCATGGTTGCTCCGAGGGAAGGAAAATTCGGTATAGGAGAAAAGAATGAAAAGAGTCCAGAGGACCGAAAATGAGTGTAAATGGGGAGCAAAAGAACGGAAGGCTTCGAAACGAAGATCAAGAAGTGCAACAACAACTCAGGAGAAACAAGCAGCCTATACATTCACCTGGGTATACCTGACATTTTCTACTCTACGCTTAACGGAGCCATCCGAGTTGTCAATAGACAACACCTCCTGAATGAGGCGATCCTTGGCAGAGACCATACTGCAACTCGCCCATTGTGAATTTGTGCCAATACGACTTTTGACCATGTTTCTTGGCATGCAGCGTCCATGATGTTTCAATAAGCTCAATCCAGCTCTAGCCAAATCCACCCGCGCGACTCCGGGGGTCTGTACGAAATGGTGCCAAGAGTCTAGAAATCGATAATATGTATACCTGCAACAGATTAGCAGAGGTGACCGTTGAGGTGCGGGATGTAAAAGTCCTTGGGATCCGCCGCACGGAAATTACACTTCTGTTTGTGGGCGCGTCAATGGCCGAGTTTCAGGGGGGACATGCCGCAAAGAGCTCAGAGCTGTGCCCGTGTTTGCTCATTTTTCCCAGACCTGCTAGTCTGTCAGTAAGCAAGCCCCCCGACTCGCCCGTAGGCGCCGGTCCGCGGGGTGGTCTGGAGTCAGGCGTTTGACTCTGAGTGGGCAGATCATTGTCTGACAGGGCCCCGAGCATGGCAGGCAGGGGGGTGTCATCCAAGCATATACTTAGTACAGTGGAGCCCTGTTTCCCGTTGAGAGGGCGATTCCAAGGTCTTGGTCCTGCGATATGGCGGAGAGTGTTTCCAATTAGGAGAGCAGATCGCGGGCAACTTTATCGGTTCCTGCACTTGGTGGGCGGCTGGAGTTGGTAAGCAATACTGATGCGAACATGGTGGACCGATACACTCCATACTTCGAACATTTATTCTATTGAGAGCAGTTAGCCGAAGAAGCCACAGGAGGAGGTAGTTCTGTCGTAGTGAAAGCGAATGCGAGATCAATGGCCAGACGCCAGCCTCAGCAGCCAACGGGGAGCTAGTTACATTCGATTTTGTTGTGGCCAACATTGCCGAATTTGGCTCTGAAGTCAGCTGTCGATTGGCTCTTGACAACTCCCACGGGCTCTTCCATAAAGTATCGCTCACAACTGTTTATCAATGCTACTCATAGCTGTCCTTCAGAGTAT